AAATAAACTGTGAGCAAATCAATCTAGAATTATATTAAAAGAATAATTTCTAATAACCAAGTAGGGTTACTCCCAAGCATTCAAAGATGCAAAATATGAAAATGTATTAATATAATTCAGGACATTGCGATTTGAAGAAGGTAAGACATAGGGTCATCTCAGTAGGTGCCAAAGCATATGAATCTCATTTCTATGCTTGGAAAGTCCTTCAACTTAGGAATCTCTGGAGAAGGAGAACCTGCCTCTTACTACATAAGCTGAAAAGTGCCAGGTGCTTGATTTTCCGACTCCCTTGCAGCTTAGTCACAAGCACATGACCAATTGGACTTACACCTAGACTTTGAATCAGGGACTAAAGTCACAAAGAAGCAGGAATGGTGCAGGATCCCCTCTCTGTAGCAGTGGAGGTTGTGGTAACGCTGAGTTACGGCTCAGCAGCTTTAGTGGTGCAAGCTTTAGTGACCTGGTCTTGCATCAGGAAGAGTTTTGCTCACAAGACTGGTTCTGCAGCCTGGTTCTGGGCACTGTTCCTGGCTATATAGCTCCAAGCCTGGTTCTCTAGCCCTCACTGAGAATTTTCTGAAGTAGCTAATGTACTTTTAATAAATTTCTTTTCAGCCTAAATTAGCCAAATTTCTGTTGCTTACAACTAAAATCCCTAATGGATACCAATGCAGTGAAAATCAACAGCCTCAGAGCTGTCCTCCACTCCACGACTTTTCCCCATGCAACATTCCACTTCCCTTCCCGCTGCTCATTGCCTCATTTTCTCCACATTTTCAATTTTTTTTTTTTTTTTTTTAGTATTTATGTAAAGGACAAGTCTGTGGACTAACTGCATCTGGCTCAAGTGTCCACCCCAGGTCCAGTCACCAGTGATGGGGCAGGCTCATGCGGTTGCATTGGGTGCCCCTTCTGGGGGACATCAGGTGGAGCATTTTTATCATTCAAAAGGGCAGTGGACCAACCTACATGATGGCTGACTTTCTGAAACAGGCACCTAACCTGGCCTTGGGAAGTTGGAAAATTCTTTCTAGAGGAAGAAATTCTAAGCTAGGCCTGCCAGATGAGTTAGAATTAGGCAGAAGAGGGTAAGAGGTAAGGAGAAAAACCAGGCCAGGAAAAGAGCATAATCCTAAGTAAAGAGTGGGAGGGAAAGAGATGGGGCTGGACAGCAAGGGTCAGCTCATGCAAGACTCCATGGGCCCTGTTGGGAATTTTGGACTTCCTCCTTAGAGCTCTAAGGAGCCATTGATGTGTTCTGAGCAGCAGAAGGACAGGAGCAAATTTGCAGTTCTGAAAGACAAGTCTAGTGGGGAATGGAGAGAAAGGGAGGCCAGATGGGAGGTTGTTGCAGTGAAGTAGTAGAGAGAAGATGGCCCGTGGACTAAGAATGGTGGCAGTGGGGATGGAAAGGAGTGGACTCAAGAGAGATTAGGAGGTAAAATCACTAGGATTTGGTGATAGGTTGGATGTGGGGATGAAGGAGGGAAGGAGTTAGGGATGACCATCAGGGTTTTTGTCTGTATTGACTGACTGGCTAGATAAATGAGTTGATGAGGGTCCTTCACTTGGTTGGAGAACACAGGAGAAGGAGATATTTGGAAAGAGATGATGTCTTAGCTTCCTAGTGCTGCTGTAACAGAAATACCACAAGTGGGTGGCTTTAAAGAATGAAAATTTATTTTCTCACAGTTCAGGAGGCTAGAATTCCAAATTCAGGGTGACAACTCTAGGGAAAGGCTCTCTCTCTGTTGGTTCTGGGGGAAGATCCTTGTCTCTTTCAGCTTCTGTAATCCCGTGATTGATCTCCATGTGGCATCTGTCTTCCCATTTGTTCTCATTTGTCTCTGTGTCTACGCTACTGCTTATAATACAGAAGCGATTAGATTTAGGACACACCTACACTGATACAGCCTTATTAGCATAACAAAGAAAACTCTTCTTCCAAATGAGATTCCATCCATAGATATAGCAGTTAGGATTCCAACACATAGTTTAGGGGGACACAATTCAATCCATAACAGATGATAAGCTCCGCTTTGAACATACCATTTTAGTGCCTGTGGAACATCCAAGTGAAGAACTACAAAAAGCAGCTGGGCATATGTGTTTGGGTCTCAGGAGATGGGTCTGGGTCAGACATAAAGATTTGAGAGTCATTAGAGATAGGTAAGAAGAACTAACAAGTGTGTCTTGGAAGAAATACAGTCAGAATGCTCCTTGGAAACAAGGATGGCAAGACTTTGTCTCAGTTACTTTGGGCATGTTATCAGGAGGGACCAGTCTCTGAAGACGAACATCATGCTTGGTAAAGTAGAGGGTCAGCAAAAAAGAGGAAGACCCTCAACAAGATGGATTGACACAGTGGCTACAACAATGGGCTCAAACATAGCAACGATTGTGAGGATGGCGCAGGACCGGACAGTGTTTTGTTCTGTTGTACGTAGGGTCGCTATGAGTCAGAACTGACTTGATGGCACATAACAACAAGATCAAGAAGAAGAAGCCCTGGTGGGGCAGTGGTTAAAAGGTGAAATGTCGATGGTTTGAACCCACCCACTGCTCCGGGGCAGAAAGATGTGGCAGTCTGCTTCTGTACAGAATACAGCCTTGGAAACTCTATGAGGCAGAGTTCTACTCTGTCCTACAGGATTGCTATGAGTCAGAATCAACTCGATAGCAATGGATTTGGTTTGGTTTTGGGGTATAGGTGGTGGTTGAAGACAAGGAACTGGATGAGGTGCTTGTGTAGCAAAAAGAAGAAGAGGGCCCAAGGACATTATGCTGAGTGAAAGAAGTCAATCACAAGAGGACAAGTATTGTATGAGACCACTATTATAAAGAAACAAGAAAAGGTTTATACATGGGGAAAAAAAGCAAACTTTGACAGCTACCAGGGATGGCGGGGTGCGGGGGAGAGGGAGGGAAAATTACCAAATAGATAGAAGACATGCACTAATACTGGTGAAGGGAAAGGCAATATACAATATGGGGAAAGTCAGCAAAACATGACCAAGACATGGGAGGGCACTGAGAGGAATGAAAGAACAAAGAGCAACAACGTAGTTACTATAGCATAGACAATCCTGCAACAATAGTATTAACAAACACTAACTTACAAATGGATACATAGGTAGATAGATATGCCAAGAGGTGTGGGAGGGTATAAGGGAACACACTCACCTGCAGATATAGGTTTGGTGGTGGATATTTCTACATACATAACTGTGATGCTGCTTATATATTAATATAGACAACAGAACACACAAGGGCCACAGTCAGGGCAACTTCTTAGAAACTACCAAAAACCTCACGGGAAGAAGTTCCTAAGCTCAAAGGTGAAGAACCATAGACTTGGGGGACATCTACATCAATTGGCACAACATAGTTCATAAAGACGAAGTTCTGCATCCTACTTTGGTAAGTAGCATCTGGGGTCTTAAAAGCTTGAGAATGGCCATCTAAGATACAGCTATTGGTCTCTTACTATCCGGAGCAAAGGAGAATTAATATAACCAAAGACCCAAGGGACAATTAGTCCGAAGGACTAGTGAACCAAATAAACCACAGCCTATACAACCTGAGACCAGAAGAACTAGATGGTGTCCTGCTACCACTACCAACTGCTCTGACTGAGATCACAACAGAGGGTCCCAGAAAGAGCGGGAGAAAAACTGCAGAACAAAAAATCAAATTCACAAAAAAGACCAGACTTACTGGTCTGACAGAGACTGGCAGAACTCCCAAGACTATGGCCCTAAGAAATCCTTCTGAACTGGAAGTGAAACCATTCCCAGAGACCATCCTTCAGCCAAACCATAGACTAGGCCTGTAAAATAAACAGTAACACCCGAGAGGAACATGCCCCTTAGAACAATCAATTATATGAGACCAAAGTGCAACATTTGCCCTAAAGCAAAGATGAGAAGGCAGGAAGGGATAGCAATTCAGGACGAAAGCAAATGGGGAACCTAGGATAGAAATGGGGGAGCGCTGGCACGTTGTGGGGAATGAAACCAATGTCATAGAACACTTAATGTACAAACTATCAAATGAGAAACTAATTTGCTCTGTAAACTTTCACCTAATGCACAATAAGAATAAATAAATCTCAGTGATAAAAACCAAAAAAAGAAGAAGAGGGCCCAAGACCAAATTCTGGGGGCATGTTAAGTTTTTAGGAAGGGCAGAGGAAGAGGAGTTCACAAACAAGATTGAAAGGTAAGGGGAAACCAAGGAAGTCACAGTGCCACAAGGCCAAAGGGGGATCCCAAGGAAGGGATGGCCATGAGTATGCAGGCTACAGCAATCAAGTAGGATCATACTGGAAAAGTATCCAGATAATGGTGACCTTGGCAAAAACTGAGTCAATGGAGCAGGGGGAGAAGCCAGCCTGGAGTGGGGTGAGAAGGCAGAGAGAGGCAAGGCATGCAGAGAGTGAAAATTAGGCAACTCTTAAGAATGTAGCACAAACAGTTAAGCACTCGACTACCAGCTGAAAGGTTGGAGGTTGGAACTCATCCAGAGGCACATCGGAAGACAGGCCGGGCGATCTGTCATAGCCTCGAAAACCCTGTGGAGCAATTCTACTCTGTAACACATGGGGTCACCATGAGTCGCAATCAACTCGAGGGCAACTAACAACAACCAAGAATGTAGCTGTGAAGAGGAGAAGACAGAGCGTGGCAGCTGGGAAGGTTTTTAAAAGATGGATGCAGGTGGCTGAAGGCGTCCACCCCGATCCCCACAGTGTGGAAGGAAAGAGGGAAAGAGCAGAACCAAAAGGAGGGTTTGGGGGAAAGTTGTGGAGGGAGGTGATAAGGGCCTGTGTCCGGGAGAGAGATTCCGTTCCCAGGTCACTGGGGACCCTATCAGGCTGGCATTTCCTCCCCATCCCCAGCCCCTTCCTGCCCCTGGCCAGGCCCTCCCTGAGGCTGGAAGACAGAAGACCGAGTCACACCCTGGAAGAAGCTCTGTGCCTTCGGAGGTCTTTCTGCCTGTCTGTAAGCTGGGGCTGGGGTACAGGGAGCTGGGGCAGGGGGACACTGAGGGAGGGATAAGAGCCAAGGACCTGGGAGCGAGTGGTTTGGGCTTTGGGTGCAAGGGCAGAAGAGGTGACTGGGGAGGCTGGGAGGTGTGGAAGCTGAGTTTTGGGAAGGGAACCTGGAGGCTGCAGCAGGACCTAGGGGCAGGGGGAGTCATGCCAGTGGCTGGTGGGGCGACCACTCAAGTCCCCCTCGCCCACAGGTCCCCATGCCTCTCCTCTTCTTGCTGCTTCTGTTACCAAGCCCCTCACACCCCCAGTCCACCTGTGAGGTATCCAAAGTGGACAGCAAGGTAGAAATGAACTGTGAGAAGCATGGGCTGAAGGTGCCGCCTCTGGACCTGCCAGTGGACACAGCCATCCTGCACCTGGGTGAAAACCCCCTGGCTACCTTCTCCACGGCATCCGTGGTGCATCTGACTCACCTCACGGAGCTGCGCCTGGATCACAGCCAGCTGGCCAACCTGCAGACTGACAGGACGCTGCCACTGCTGAAGACGCTGGATCTGTCACACAATCAGCTAAAAATCCTGCCCTCACTAGGGCAGGCACTGCCAGTCCTCGTTAGCCTGGACATCTCCTTCAACAAGCTGGCCTCCTTGTCTCCAAGGGCCCTGGATGGCCTGAGCCAACTCCAAGAGCTCTACCTGCATCACAATCATTTGACGGCTCTGCCCCCAGAGCTTCTGGCCCCCACACCCAGGCTGAAGAAGCTCAATCTGGCTTACAACAAGCTAAGCGAGCTGCCCCAGGGGCTCCTGGATGGATTGGAGGATCTAGACACTCTCTACCTCCAAGGGAACTGGCTGAGCACAATACCAAAGGGCTTCTTTGGGAACCTCCTCCTGCCTTTCACTTTCCTCCACAGCAACCCCTGGATCTGCAACTGTGAGATTCTCTATTTCAGTCGCTGGCTGCAGGATAATGCACAAAATGTCTACTTATGGAAGGAGGGTATGGAGGTCAAGGCCATGACCCCCAATGTGGCCAGTGTGCAGTGTGCCAACTTGTCTGGCATACCTGTCTACAAGTATACAACAGAGGGTTGCACCACCTCTAGTGATGACTATGACTACTATGATGAAGACGAGGACCAAAACGGTGATAAGGTGCATGCCACCAGGGCTATGGTCAAGTTCTCTACCAACACCAAAGCCCATACAACCCACGGAGGCCTACTCTACTCAGAATCTACTGCTTCTCCAGGTAGCCAAATGTTCTACTCGCCTCCACTCCAAGAATCCACTCCAAGACAGGCCACATTCCCAGCCGAAGAGATCTCAGATCCCACCACATTCCCAACTACCACAGAATCCATCACATTCTTCAAAATTTCAAAACTCACTACAGAACCCACCACAACCCCAACCACCCTAGAACTCACCACAACCCCAACCACCCCAGAGCCCACCACAATCCCAACCACTTCAGAGCCTACCACAACCCCAACCACCTCAGAACCGACCACAACCACTCCAGAGCCCACCACAACCCCAACCACTTCAGAGCCTACAACCCCAACCACCCCAGAACCCACCACAACCCCAACCACTTCAGAGCCCACCACAACCCCAACCACTTCAGAGCCTACCATAACCCCAACCACACCAGAACTGACTACAATCCCAACCACCGAAGATCTCACCATATTTTTGATTTCTACAGAACCCACTTTACTCCCTACTACCTTAGAATCCACAGAAATAATCTCTGAACCTTTCAACTTTCTGAATGTCCATGGGGTGGCTCAAGGGAATTTGGATAGCTCCAGAAATGACCCTTTTCTCGACCCTGACTTTTGCTGCCTCCTCCCCCTGGGCTTCTACGTGTTGGGTCTCCTCTGGCTCCTGTTTGCCTCTGTGATCCTCATCCAGCTGTTGATCTGGCTGCAGGGCGTGAGACCCCAGGCCTTTGGCCAGGCTGCAGCTGTGCACACTGCACACCTGGAGCTGCACAGGGGAAGGCAAGTGACTGTGCCCCGGGCCTGGCTGCTCTTTCTGCAAGGGTCACTCCCCACCTTCCGCTCCAGCCTCTTCCTGTGGGTACGGTCCAGTGGCCGTGTGGGGCCTCTGGTGGCAAGACGGCAGCCCTCAGCCCTGAGTCTGGGTCGTGGTCAAGACCTGCTGGGCACAGTGGGTATTAGGTACTCTGGCCACAGCCTCTGAGGGTGGGTAGTTGGGGGACCTTAAGAGAGGCTGTGAGGGGCTTTCCTATTGGGAATCTAGCTGTGGGTGGGTGGGTAAGGAGCCAAGGGTCAGGGGGAGGTCTTAATTACTGTTTCTTTATCAGAAACCTCTTCACACCACAGGCACAGAAACCAGGAGGAGTAATGAGATGGAGTTGGGTGGGCCACAGATTGTGTTGCATGGGGCGGGGAGGAAGTTCTTAGACCATGTGGTTATTACCATCACTTTTGGGACAAGTTTTAGGAAAAAGCAAATAATAAACAGCACAGCATATGACTCCCCCATGTTCTGTGTATAGAAGAAAGCTTAGAAAGAACTTTGTCAAGATGTGAGCATTGGTTGTATCTGGGTGGTGTAAATATGGGCAGTTTTTATTTTTTCTCTGCTTAGCTTGTTCTAGTTTTCCACCATCATGGTATATTATTTGTACAATAAAAAATAATAAAAAACAAAATTTAATTTTTTTTCTGAAGAGAGAGTGGTTGGGGCACCTGTCACTAGAATTCCCAAGGCCCCAACGGCCCCCACTACTCGCTACTACTCACCCAATCAACCCCTAGTCTCAGCCTGCACTTCCCCTGCATAGGGTGTCATCTTCCTCACCCAACTACTGCCCTCCCCTCTCCTCCAGGCCACCCCAAGAACCATAGGTCTTCCTGGTACTTAGTGACACTGCTGAGGCCTACTGCATGCAGCCTGCAGTGCTGGGGGGAAGTGGATGCCTGCTCACATCTGCAGTCCCAGAAATGCAGCTCTCTTGCACCACTCACGTGGCCTGGCCGTGTGCTCCATCTTGGTGGGTATTATTGAAGGGTCTCAAGTTTCCTCTCAAGCTAGGATGCAGGCAAATGGAACTACTTATTCCCTGTGCCAGATTCTGCCATGCCCCTTACCACACTGGGCAGGGCATTCTCTCCTGCTGCTTCACCTCCAGCCCAATCCAGCGTTTGAGGCCCAGAGAATGGGGTTAAAGGCTGAGCCTTCCTGGCTCCATGGAGACTCCTCCTCCAGATGGTGCTAGATCTTCCTACCTTCAAATCTGACCACAATTCTCCTGCTTTGAACTCTTTCCTGAGGCCAAACTCCTTAGCTCAGCAATCGAGGACATCCACGCACTGACCCTACCTAACAGTCCAGCTTCATCTCTCCCAACACACTTCGCAATCTATGCTCCAGCAGTCGCACACTTACCAGTTTACCTGCTCCCCAATGCTTTTTCTCTTCTAAACCTTTGCTCTCGCTCTAGCCAGGGCTGCCCCTGTTCCCTTCTCCTCCCCCAGCCAGTCTAACTACCACCGGACAAAAGTCTAGTCTCTCCTTCCCCTGGGCTGGGCCAGGTGCTCCAAGCTATCCTGCACCTACCTATTGCTCTGCTCCTGGCTCCTAATCACTTCTGCATCATTTTCCCATCTGAACTTGGAACTTAAGGACAAGATCCAGACTTCAAGTGTCTCAAAGCAGCCACCATGGCCCAGCACGGAGTCTGGATGGAGGGGATGAGAAAAGAGGCAGGGCTAGGAGGAACCAAGCAGGGCACCAGGCTGCTGAGTGCCACCTCTTCTCTGTCCACAAGGGGACTCTGCCAAGGGGACAGCTCCCACCTGCTGCCTGCCTATCCCCCAGGCTGACATGGAGCCTTCAGCCTCCTGCTGCCCAGCTCTCCTCCCAGTTTGACCTTCCCATGCTTTTATGCCTCCAGAGGTTTTTAGGCTCCTTGACGACACGGCCTGGGAACCACACATCTTCTCAAGAAAAAGCGAAGGCAGTCACCCTCCTCAGGCCGGGGACCAGATCAAGTCTCCAGCCAACATCCTCCCTTTCCTCAAGCCTCCAGGCTGTGGGAGCCTGGCTCCTATGCTCACCCCAAGCCCTATCCCCTCATCCTCCAAAGGCTCCAACCCTCAAAATTCTGTTCCCCTCTCAGTCTCATTACTCCCTCCCCCGTTAGGCTGCAGAAACAGACATCAGACCCCAGAGACTTTTGCAGGGATTAAGTGAGATGACTTGAACTTGTCTGCCACATTCTTGCGCAAAAAGCTGGGAAGCATCACATAGTGCCTGTAGGTTTCAGTTTCCTCACCCTATCAGCTTCTGTGACCTGGCTGATTTACACAGCATTTGCATAATACCAGCAGGTGCTTTTTCTTTAATGGTTTTTCTGAAAAACTCCAGTTCCTGTTCTCCAGAGGCACCAGCTTCCCTGTCCAGTCTCCTCCCCCTCCTGGCCCCTACAATGCTCCAGATTTGGGGGTGGTATCATCAATCCAGTTTATTGAATAAGCCCTCAATGAGATGGAAGGAGGGAGGGCCACATCTTCCCACTGCGACCCCTCTGACCACTGTGGGTAGCTTCTGCTCTCTCCTGTCCCCTCAGCTCCGCCTAGGCATCTCCACCGAGAAGGACGCCTTCTGCTGTCCTGAAACTAATACCCAAGAGGAAGCAAGATATCCTCAGAGAGGTCATGAGGATCAGGACAAGCAGGGCAAAGTGGAGCAGGGGTAGAACAGACCAAAGTCCTTTATGGCAAAAGAACAAACCACACACTGTGGAGGAAAATAAATACAGGGGCCCAGGGCAGCAGAGTCCAGATCCCTCGGGGGCAGATCAACTATGCGAGTTCCTCAGCCACTGAGGAAGAGCCGCTTGTAGGCCTTGTTCATCTGCTCCAAGAAGATGAAGGTGAGGACAGTGTGGGGACCCAGGCGGGCATAGTACGGCGTGAAACCCTTCCACAGGCTGAAGAAACCCTCGTAGCGGATGACCTTCACCAGCACATCCTAGACAGACAGGCAGGATGCTGGGGACAGGGCCACCGAGGCCAGGCCCTGTCCCACTTCCCCGTTACGCTCACAGCCCTCCCCCAGGCATCCGACCCACTAGCACAGGCTCGTGGCCCTCCTTCCTCACCAGCCCGTTCTTGTATTCCGGTTTCCCGTCAATCGTTCGCATGTTTTGGATCCTGGTGAAGAGGAAATGAGAATATGAGAGACGTAAGGCGGCCCTCTCATCCCTCTCAGGCCCAGGCCTACCCACTCACCGAGTCTTGACAATGTCCACGGGCATGGAGGCAGCAGTAGTGACGAGGCCGCTAATCATGCTGGCACAGAAGTGGCACAGGATGTTGTCAGAGAAGTACCCTGGGGAAGTAGGGCAGGGGGTGGCACACAGTCAGCTTGCAGCCAGCCCGGCCAGGCTGGGAGCTGAGGGCCCAGCTCTGGATCTCACCTGAGTCCAGCAAGAACTGCTTGGATTGGGAGTAGGAGGCAAGCTGGGCAGCATTGACGACAACAGCCCGGGCCATGGTAGGGACGCAGCCCTGAGGTGGGGGAAAGAGGGGGAAGAGTCAGAAATGTCCAAGACGGAACCACATGCCCCCCGTCTCCAGCCCCTACAGTCCACTCACCCGCCACAGCGTGAGGACCCCCTCCTCCCGGGCGATTCGAATCAGGGCATTGAACACGTTTTTGTAGCCACGGCGCCGGTCAGGCGGAAGCCTGGTGGGAAAGTAGGAGGACCCCAAGCTCAGAATGGCCCACCCTGCCCCATGGGAGCAAAGAAAGGGAGACCAGAACAAATGAACGCTCTGCTCTAAACCAGGCAGCAGAAATTGGTCCTTCCTGTCTAGATTCCAAGGAATGGGTCTGGGGACAGGCTCACGCCTGGAACTCACCTGCCATCAGCAGTCATGCGGATGAGAGCCACCTCGGCTGGTGTGCCCACAAAGGCACCAGTTGCACCTGCAGTCATGCCAATCACGGCCTTCAGCAGAAATCCAGGGGGTGTGCCATCCGCCCCGGTCAGGCGCTCAAAAAGCACGGTGTAGATGCCAAGGCGAGTGGTGGTGTAGGTGGCCTGGCGAAGCAGGCCAGCTGATAGCCTGGGGAGTGAGGGATCGGTGTATTAGGCCAAGGTGTGGAGCTGTCAACCCCAGCCCCACGCCCCATCCTGCGGCCCCAGTACCCGGTGTAAATGCCTCTCAGTCCTTCTGCCTTCAGGATGCTGCTGAGGGCATGGAAGCTGGTTTTGTACTCCTTCGTCTTTGCTCCTTCCCCGCTCAGCTGCATCCGGTTCTTCACCAGGTCCAAGGGCTGCACGAAAACCGTAGCTCCCATCCTGGGGGAAGATGGGAGTGGCGTCAAAGGCCAGGTGTCACAGATCTACCAATGACTACTGGAGCCTGGCAGTAAAAGGGTCACAACAGGCACGGCCTGTCATGAGACTGACAAAGGGTCCAGGTGGCTGGTGGGCATGGAGTTCTCTTTGTTCTGAAAAATCCAGTAGTCCAGAGGGGCCCAGCAAGGAAAGGGTTTCATGCAGCTCCACAGGGGTCAAGCAGTGACCCGGGAGTGCATTCGGGACGCCAGGAAGGGGGCATGCAAGACTGGGACTCCACGTAGTCCACCAAGAACCATGTAATGATCTGGGACCCCATACAGCCCGGCGAAATCAAGCAATCAGTTGGAAACTCTCATGGCCTGGCGGGGACCATGTAAGGACCTTGCATGCAGCCCAGTGAGGGGCCCTACAATGGCTGAAAAGCCCATCAAAGGCCTTGCAATAGGCTGGCGACCGCGCTGACCCGGTGCCGGCTCGGTTCACTGCAACAGACCCAATGATGAACAAGGCCCAATTCTTTGCGCCTGTTTTTTTCTCCTTCTTTCCCATTCTCGGGGCCTGAGCTTACCCGGCCAGGCCCCCAAACAGGAACTTGACAGACTTAGGGGAGGTACGGGGCTTCCCGTCCATCACGCTGGCCCCGGGACTCGCCGCGGCCGCCATCTCCACTCAATGCTCCCTCGACTCCCGGTCCCGTGCGCGCGCGGCCCCGCTCGCGCCCAAGGTGACACCGCGCGCGCAACAGGGGCGAGGGCGCGCGCGCACACCCCTCCCCGACTCACGGGTCCCGCACCCGCTGGAAATTGGCGCAGGCGCGCAGCGCAAAGGAAACCGGGAGTAAGGCGATGTCGAAGGAGGAGCTTGAAGGATGGGTGGGGAAAGAGGTGTGGCATATTGGGAAGCCAGAATGTGGGCGCAGTTTTTACCGAATTGGAATCGCGGGAAAATAGATAAGAGTTTGTTTGAAGGTCTCGCGAGATCGAGTGTGCCCGGCCAGCCAGTTAGGCGGTCTCTCGCGATAGATATAGCAAGCTTTCAACAGGGGTGGGGGGAGGGGGAAATGTGGTGAGCACTCTCGCGACACTTGAAAGCACCGCGGCGGCGGCGGCAGCCAGAGGGAGGAGGAGAGGTTTGTAAACACGGCAGCTCCAGGATCCCGAGGACTAGAGGGGAAACGATCAGGGCGTCTTCTGCGACATTGGTGCTCTCTACATTTCCACAGGCACTCCCTCTACCTCTAACCTTTTTCTTAACCGGCCTTTTAGGACCGGAAGTCCTTCATCTTGAGCGTCCAATGCTTGAAGCCGCTGCCTTTCTTTACCGGAAACCCTTTTCCCGGGTCTAGGAAGACGGCCCACCTGGCCGGAAGTCCCACCTCCTTGAGCTCCCCAACCCTTCCAGAAGTTTTTCTGTCACCCGTGCTTGCTTCAGGCCCCTCTACCCGTTTTATCTTCAAACTAGAAATTAGAAAAGGATACATTTAGTGTTTCTCTCCCAGCTCCACAAAACGGGTTGAATATCTCCCTGAGTCGAGGTTCCTTCTCCGGCACCCCCATGTAGCTAGGAAGTGGAACCTGGGGGTAGTGGGACCCCTGGGATCCTGAGGGTGGGGCGAGGAGGACGCAGAACTCCGCTTCTGCTCCTGCTACCCAGGACGCGGCTCCTCAGCCTCTCCCCTCCCGCCACCATGCACCCTGCGGCCTTCCCGCTTCCTGTGGTTGTGGCCACTGTGCTGTGGGGAGCGGCCCCCATCCGGGGGCTCATCAGAGCGGTGAGTCTGAGGGGCGGATGGGGGAAGGGCGCTGCAGGGAGGGGTTGCACGCAGAAAAGGAACATGGACTCTATTGTCCGCAGACCTCTGACCACAACACCAGCATGGACTTTGCAGACCTCCCAGCACTTTTTGGGGCTACCCTAAGCCAGGAGGGACTCCAGGTGATTTTCTTCCCTTTTCTCACTTCCCTAAATCCTCGATCTTGGGCGGGGGGGGG